AACATCATCAAATGTCATCAAATACTGTAGACAAGAAGTCTAGAATGTGAAACAAGACTTCAGTTCATTGGACTCTTTGGCAATGGTAGCACAATCTATACAAGTATTGCACATATGCTTTAGCTAAGCATGTACTCATAATACCAACACAACTTCAAGGAAGGGTAACTGCATTGTCTGGAAAGTAAAATGAAAATCTTTTCAATACATACCACTTAAAATAGATAAAAGATCACCCTATTCTTTCATATGACAATACTCCATCTGTCAGTGAAAGAACTTGGTGTTCTTTAACTTCTTTTGAATAGTATACTTTACAGAATCTAGCACATCGATAGCTAACAATGGTTAAGACAGTATCCTATTTTATGTAACCATTGTTTACAATAGAAATAGTTATTAATTCTTTTGAAAATCAGATAATCTTCCCTGAGGCTACATTGATGTTTCTATCTATCAAACAGATATACAACTAATGAACGTTTGCCACAGGTGAAATACATAGATCAACTGATAACGAATGTATGGACATACAAGAGCAATGAGGTGTTGATAGAGTGGAGAAAAAGTGGGATCAAATAACATCTCTCTGATGAAATATATCATGTACACATACACAAACATCAAACCAGGATATCATAGGTACAGAAGCTCACCTTTATGAAGTGAAAGAACATTTAAGGTGTGAGGATGCGCCGATCTAGATATTTTGCAAAGACATAATACCAAGAGTGAGTAAGTTGGGCTTAAAGTCACTTTTAACAGTATTCCAGTTATATCACGGTGTGTCAGCTTAATGTGGGAGGAAAGCCCAAAGTGATGCAGGTGTCGAATGTTTACCACTTTGGTGAAACCCATGAACACAGGTAAGGTGCTGACAAACCAAGAAACGTTAAACAACAAACAAACAAACAATATACATCTAAAACATTATTTCAATTATTTTAAATCTCAAAATGCTTACTCATTTTGGAAAAAAACCAATAAACAATGATAAAGTGATGAATAGATGAGTGAAAAAATATTGCTTTCCCAATGAAAAATGTAACAACCCAATTAAAATAGAAACCTTCAAGTAAAAACTCAATTGCTCAAAAATTTATCTGGACCTCTAAAAGCTCATGATGCTTGTGGCATAGAATGAGAGTGAGTGAGTTGGGGTTAACTTGAACACTGTTTTGAACAGTATTTCAGTTATATCACGGGGTGCCAGCTTAATTTAGGAGGAAAACCTGAAGTGATGCAGGTCTTAGACATTGATCACTTTGGTCATGTTGGTGAAACCCACATGCACGGGTATGGTGCTGACAAACCTAGGAAGATAATCAAGGTGAACCGGATTCAAAACCCACAATCATAGGTTTCTGGCGTGCCACAGGGATGCAATTCTGCACAGCAAATTGTGGTGCCTTAGACGACTGGGCCACCCATGCCCCCCCCCCCCCCCCCCTAGCATAATAACAAGGAAGGTGATAAAAGCTGTGTTGCACGACAAAAGGGGTTTAGGGTCAGGACTCTAGATTAGAACTGGTCTCGAAAACAGAAACATATAACGCGGTCCTCAGTATTATCATAAGCTGTGAGTGATGACAATCGCACACAAATATCTACAGTATATACCATAGTTTGTGTAATAAGCGTCTTAGGCTCTAAAACAATTGACAAAGAGGGGTGCTATTTAACAAGGAGTTAGTTAATTTGTTTTCAGAGATCGAACGGATATTGAACACATTTAATTCAAACATCGTTGAAACTAAACCTTTTTTAATAGTTACAAGACAATTATATACCTCTTCTGCATTGCTGTTTTCTGTAAAAACAATCCATAATATACACAAGAAAATATCAACTGTCGTATAAAGTATTTGTGAGATTACTTACAATATTGGTCTAAAAGTAGAGCAGGGCGCTTAATATGGCAAACACAGTACATGTATCATCATTAAATACCATGAGAAAGACTGTTATTGGTTATAGATCTGCTTAACACTACATAAGTGAGGTATCAAAAGATTTACATATGAAAATTCACTTTATACATGCAGTATGACTTTATCCATTACCCAGTGAAAAACAACCAGCACAAGCAATAAATGTAGTGCGTATTCTGCTTCTCTATGAATAACATCACTGTAAATCACTGCATCAGAGTTAACAGCCATAAACCAATGTAAACAGTTGCCTGCAGAGTATATGATATTTGCACTGGGAATAATAACTAAAAACTTTTGTTTGTTGATCATTTGATCATGTTCATCATGTTCATGACCTGGACTATTTTCAGTTAAACATGATGACCAGTGATAAAGGAAAGCTGTCTACATACCAATTGATAAGGAAAAATATGTTTAATTCAGTACCTAATCATGCTAATAGACCAGCCCTAATCACTGGTGCATGCTAACAGCAGCACACAATTTAGTCACGACATAGCATGTCATGTGCACTGCAGCACACACCAAATAGTAAAACGCCTCTTGTGAAGACACCAATAAACAAATTGTGTAACTGGTGTGCCATTTCTCGTCAAGTCAAGGGGTCCTTGTCATAACTCACATGTTAAAGAGTTAAAGGGGAAGTGTACACGCAAAAATCACTTTCTTTCTTTTTCTAAACAAAACGCAATTTTAGAATTAATTAGTATCTGTGTTTGAAAATATACACTCATTTTTTTCACAGTGAAAGTAGGAAGCTCACAATAGTGTGAAAATGATATGCCGTTATGAGGCCTTCGTTTTTCGAGCTAAACAGGCCTGAGTTATCCCCCTTAGATTATGACGTAATTGGTGCCAATTCAACTGGGTCCCTGTCTATTCTCAACGCAAAAGATATCAAGTACCAGTTTGCGGTAAAACAACATGGCCTACGACACACTCCGGCGCAGTGGTGACTCAGCATAACACTATGCTGGCTGGCATCTGAGACGCTAGAATCACACACCTAGACCTACACCACGTGGAGCGGCTCTAACAAAGCATGATGACGTCATAATGTTTATCAATTGGCACCAATGACGTCATATTGCAAGGGGCATAAGCCATGGTGTTTTTGTTGTGGAAATAGAACACTTGGTAAATGTGAAAAATATAAATCGTTTTAATGCGAAAAATATGTTAATTAATTGTGATATTTTTATATTTTTGTCTATGACACTTCTAGGTTAACACTTTTAATGTGGAAAAAGTACAAGAAAAATAGGTTAATTTCCGTGTGAACTTGCCCTTTAAAGATTTAGGGAGTCCCGAGATTCAAATACCACCAAAGACCTCATGAACCCCAGGACCCCCGATAATTTCAAACACTGTTCTTACAGAAGCCTGAACCCAGTGGGGTTTCCAGGATTAAACAAAACTGAAAAGCTTTACTAGCCTGGGTAAAGATAAAATGCCCTTGTAATGTTGAAATAATGGGAAAATTTGTACTGGCCCACAGGGATTTGTACTAGCCCTGGGCTAGCAGGCTAGTGTAGAGTTCACTGGTATAAAATTGGTCACCCTTAACATATGCTTTAATTACAAGGTATGAACATGCGGTCTAAAATACCACCTTTGTTATCTTTGGCTTCCATATTTCCATTCCAAATAAAAATCAAGTCATGTATAATTGATATTGATACTGATTATTGGTGCAGAGCATTTAATATGGTGAATACAGTATACTACTATGGTACTCATGTGGGCAGTGTTTGCTGGATATAGACAACACATTCACGTGGATCAGTGATCAATTATCATGATAATCATACCAACATTAAGTAATTAACTGGTCTGATAGATGTGTGAGTGAGTGAGTGAGCTGGGTTTAACGCCGCTTTTAATAGTATTCCAGTTATATCACGTCGTGTCAGCTTAATGTGGGAGGAAAGCTCGAAGTGATGCAGGTCTCAGACGTTTACCACTTCAGTGAAACCCAAGAGCACGGGTATGGTGCTGACAAACCTAGAAACATAATTGGGGCGAACCGGGATTCGAACCCACAATCATAGGTTTCTGGCGTGTCGATAGATGTGTGAGGACCACAGAAAATGTAATATACATAGCACAAATATCTCTACAGTTAATCATGCTAATAGCTTAGATTTGTAGGCCTACTAATAACAAACAGAAATACTACTTCCTATTTTAAAGAAATAGCTGAAATACTGATTAATTCCAAAAGATGTATGATTGTTTACTTCAGTATGTCACTACTCTCATCATAACCAAAGACAACAGCAAAATATACAATAAGTAGGCTAGTTAGCTCATTTTTTTCACTTAAAAATAATTCCACTGCTCTCTAACTGCTTGCTTAGATAATATAAGATACCTACAAATTACAAGTAGATCAAACATACAACTGATATAATTTAATGTTTATTTTGAAAAGGAGAGATCAGTGAATACTCACAACAAATCATAATAAGTGCAATTAATAGGATAATGCTTTGCATTGCACCATCCCTGCGTAGTCTACCTGATCTAGGCCTACAGTCCAGTCGTGCTTATATAGTAATTTAATAAACTAAATCTAGATGTTCGTTATAAGTAATTGTTCAGTTAATTTAACAGCCATTTTACAGAAATGCATGTGCTTGTTAAGTTATTTCGCATCTTACTATCTCGGCGAATGTAGACAGTCACTATACCACACGATGTTAGTAATGATTTTATTTTGAGAAGCTCTTGCTGTTCTGAGACGGAGAGACATTCAAAAGATGGACCGTCAAAACTGAACAGCTGAAGCGAAACATGCACATATGACACATTTAATGACGTGAGGTAATCGTACCCTGCTTCGTCAGACTAAGCAACTGCAGATCCGATATCGGTATGTGTATATCAATGTATATAGATATTCTAACGCTCTCATCTGCCAACAACACGTATAATTAGATGGAAGGTCTGACTGATATTCCAACATGGATTCGCGAAGCGGGCCAGTTTCAACGTCTCGCACTCCGCACACACCGGGCCTCGCACTTGCTGCTTATGCATTTTTCACTAAATAGCTCGTCTTACCTGTTTATGGTGTCATGGTTAAAGTATATCCTAAAATCCCTGGCATCTGTCAAAACGGTAGTTTAGCCAAATATATGCACAAGTTCATCTCTCGTCTGCCATTTTCTCACCCAGATTTAATGTTGACATCGATAGCCAATCGCAGCCATTCTTTTTGTCACGTGATCTTCTTACCAATTCAGCAGAGAAATGAAATTCTGGCACATACAATATATCATATGTACTATAGTATTTCTAGATATGAACTTTGGCTAGAATAGACATCACTGGTAGAATAATGTCTTATCATTGAAAAAAATATATATATTTGACAATTGTCGTATTTACAAGAAACCGTGTCGAACAAAATATTACTTGCAAAAATGCCATATCATAGAGCAACCACATCGGTAATTTGGGTTTTAGCTGTAATAACATGTTATCATACAGTAATATGATATATCATATGTTAATAGATTGAAACAGGAAATTATATCTTTATCATAATATCTGTCACGATATTACATTGTTCCTCGTTCAAATACTTAGTATCATCTCTATATTAATTTCCAATCCATCAATTTTCGTGTCTTTAGTTACTTATTAAATTTTTAAAGTTAAGTCTGTTTTGTTTTTTATCAGATTTCATCTGGTTTGATTTTTTTAAGGTTATGTTTATCATATTGTTCATATTTGTTCTTTGTTCAATATATTGTGTTTTTTGTCTTCTTTTGTTACACTTTGGATTTTATAAGAACCTTGTAAGGTGTTCCTTTTCATTGATGTTTTTATTATTTCAGTTTATGTGGTTATTTAACTGTTGCTATGGTGATTATTCAGGCTGATGTATTTTTTTATTCAAATAAAAAGTTATACAATTGAAGTGAACAAGAATTAAGAAGTTGTCTGAAATATCGGTGATGCCCTGTTTAAAAATGTCCCCCTGTGTTTTTATGCTATACTGGTTTAGGTGGGTGGGGTGATATGAGGATGAACGTCAGTTTCAGGATTATTTAAATCATATAGCGACGTGCATGCACGTGCATGCAGGTATCTGCTTGTACTGTAGTTCTCAACAAGACCGTTTTATAGCGTGTCAGCCCAATGAGATCCCATGCCGCAGTTTAACATGGATACCTCATATAGAGCAGTATATATACTGGCTCCGATCCGACCAGTCCAAGCTAGGTAACAACAAGAACCATCTTTTAACATATTTTGGTATGACGCGACCGGGGATCGAACCATGCACCGACCTTCCGCTCTCCGGCTAGCTCGACGCCCTATCCACTAGATCACGGAGGTGGTATAAATTGGATTAGATTCCTTGTTTCAATATGCCCATAGTATCACATGCTTTTAAGAACCGACTTATACGTAGATGCGAAATCGTAGCTACGCACTACATATCAACTAGTCGTTAGTACATGCAAAAGCGGAAATTATATAGCTACGATTTTAAGCCCTGGGCTTAAGTACGGATTTTGACACTCCATAATTGAGTAACATTTTATCCAAATTTAATTCGCTTAAAAACGAAAAGGGACAAAGACATGATAGGAAAAATGAATACCTCATGGTTAATGTAACAATAGCCACAACTGGAATGAGAGAATAACACTCTAACATAAGACATGGTTTTCTTTTTCGACTTGAAAATCAAGAACACGTTCAAAATTGAAATGACAGCTGTAAAAAAAATAACAACAAACCAATATCACAGTTATGTGTGTCTGTCATATGTGTTAAGATGTCATACTGATTATCAGGATATCACCAACGTTTGGGTCCAATGTGTCTTGTAAATACGGAAACCCTTGACAGCGCTTCAGGTGCAATATTGGTGCAAATTGGCCACATATAAGCGTGCTGCAAGACATGTTGAATAACATCCGGAAAGGGAGATCAATCAATTTTTCAGTTTGATTTATTTTTCCGTTTTTAAGTCCTTGGGCTAATTAACGAGGGATTTAAAAACGTGATGTCCTTGTAGATGCTCCACGAAGCCTGTACCGGGATGACGTGAATCGTGCCACAAGCACCACCTTCCCTTTCCCTGGTCCAGACCTTATTGTCTGTTAGTTGCTGTGTAGTGTAATACAATATGTCTCTCTCTCTCTCTCTCTCTCTCTCTCTCTCTCTCTCTCTCTCTCTCTCTCTCCAGTGACTGACATCATGAGCATCGATCCACGCATTTGGGATACGATGACATGCATCAACCAAGACAGCGAACCTGACCACCCGATCCCGTAAGTCGGTTCTTAGACAAGCATAGTTATACTGGAGCTGTAGAAGCTTAAAACGAATAAAATGGTAATTTTTGGTCATTGCAATTTTCCCGTTTTGCCAATTTAGGGACCACATATTATACAAAACCGTTGCGAAGTTCACGTTTTACAGGTGTAATAAATGCAAAAAGCGAATTTCTGATATTACACCAGGCCAAAAAAAGGTAACACAGAGATTGTATTGGCATATTTGAATCTCAAGATCCACATTGATCAACTTGTTGAAAGGATACGTTTTTGACCGATTTCTTTAGCATATGACACATTTTTACGAATTTTTCGTGATGCTGCTTCGTTACATTTCTGCAAATTAGCCTATGTCATCCAGATATCGGTAAAATGACCCTGCTAACCACTGTTTGTTATTTACACACCTGCACAGAGCAAGCAGTTCTCACACAATGTCCACTTAAAGCTGGGTGACCGGGATGCGTCATGAGACATTAATAGCGCACAGAACAAGCGTTGTCAATTAGCGTTACTCAGTCAATAAATACAATATATAGTCCAACTAGACTGATAAAAGCTTACTGTGACGCGCCCATCGATATGTGGCCATTGTTCCCTCGTGACGTTATGTTAGGCGTGTGCTTTTCAAGAACGCGGAGGGAGGGAGATAATGGTCATTGATGTCCAAGATTTGCAGCTAATCCGAGTGATTATATCTATTTATAGCAACAAGCATGATGTACTAAGATACAGGCGTTGAAATCTCGTAAATTCACGGAACCACACGACACGACAAGACAAGACAAGGGGCGAGTAGTGATGATTGCGAAGTCTCGATAACAGTCGGAACCAGCGAATCAGAACTACAGAGAGGTGTTTCTTTATTAATACGGTGGACATTTTAAAGTTTTCTTCATTTTAAGTGGGTGGTAATATATACACTAACACTCAAAACTCTGGTGTACGGATTATCTCCCCTTCGAGTATGATGAGTTCTGGGATTCTCAGATTTATACCATTCTAGGCCTATTCATTCACAAGGGAAAGATAATTTGTAATTCCCCGAAGTAAGTTATTCTCTATAGTCCTCGCCACTTGAAATAGTATCACGAAATATCACGACGATTTATTTACGAAGACAGGTGCATGTCTGCTAATACTTATGAAGTGAAAACAAGCCATTCCAGCGATAAGGAATATTACTTGCAGTAATGACAAAAAATGCAAAGTGCGCTTTTCAAGAAATATTCATCATCATTGAGTTTTGATCACGTCGTTACAATCCGGGTAATAATCAGGTGACTGCGAGCGGTGACATTTAGCAGTGGCCTTGGTCCATAACGCTTTAAATACTTCATCTGCGCATATTTTCCTTACAGTTCGTGCTGGAAATGTACGCACGTTGCACACGCTGCTATGTATTGTAGCTCGCAGTCACCTGACTGTCGATTATTACATATATATATCATGTTCTCCAACCCTGTCATTCACCCGATGGACCCGTGAAGACCCGGGGTAGGAACGGTCTTCAGCAACCAATGCTTGCGTAAAAAGGCGACTACGCTTGTCATAATAGGCAACTAACGGGATCGACTTGGTTGATGCATGTCATCGTATCCAAAATGCGTGGATCGATGCTCATGATGTCAATCACTGGATTGTCCGGTCCAGATTCGATTATTTACAGACCGCCGTTCATGTTCATAAAGCTGGAACATTGCTGAGTGCGGCGTAAAACAATATGGTCTTTGGTTTGGTATAGTTTCTTTTGCTCGTCAGTGTATATGAGTCATTATTCCTCATGACATCATAGGTGCATCGTCCCGAGGCCAGGGAGTTAACTGGACTTTTGTAGTCAGTTAACTCCCTTGCCTCGGGAAGATGTGATGAGGGTCACTTCAATTAACACTGAAGGCCCGATTAATTAGCGCCGATGGCTTGCTGCTTGTACCAGCAATGGAACCTGTCTATCATCCCCCTCAAAAATTGAGTAACACGCTCCAAGTTCACGATTTGATGATGAGGAACCCATCTGGTTCTTATAATCATCCGAACCCATCACAAAGATGAACCGATGGCCAAAGATAGTTCTGACCATTCACGCATGCTCAGTGGCCACATGTTGCACGTGCGGACGCGTGTGAGTGGAGGAGCAGTCTACAAGTGACGTATCAACACCACGTGCGCCGCTTTACAGGTGCCATTGATGTCGTTACCACATGCCTCTATCAGACGTTAAACCATCTCATGCCTCAGCCTTGGTAAATTGATATGCTTTAGGTATATGAATTTGATATAACACGCTAAACTGGTACATTGGTTTGTTAGTACGTCCCGTCACCACTCGCCACTGCTCGCATATTTTCGTAATCTACAAGAAGGTCGGCTTGTCCCAGGATGACGAGGGCTGTAACGAATGGGCCGTGCAGCCAATCTCATGTTCGGCTGGAGATCTATCCGGTGACATTCTAAATATGGAAACCTGACTGGAGGCCTCTAAACAGCCAGGATTAAATAATTGTGCGAGGCAGGATATTAGCCTTAAAACTACGCTGAACAATCTGGATTTGAATTATAAAGTGAGTGGGATACAGGTTAAATTGACGCCGTTTTGAACATTATTAAAGATATGTGTCTTTTCTGTGAAACCCGAGAGAACAGGTATGGAGCTGGTAAGCTCAATACCATAATCAAGGCGAATCTAGGATTCGAACCCAATTAGTCGGATCCTGGCTCGCCTTGGGGACGTAACTCTGCACAGCGAATCGTGGCGCCAAACACGAATGGGCCATGCACACAGGTCCCGTCTTATACAGAGTCTTACACCAGTAGTTACTGGCGCTGACATCGCTTTTAGAACGTGCCCTAATCTGTCTCACATGCAGTCCCTGAACTATATTATTTTCATTTCCGCC